GTATATCCTCTGCCGCCGGCCTCGCCCCCACAACCCCCGCTCCCCACTCCCGTCCTTGAGGACATGTTGGAGAAAGGGCAGGAGGGCCACTCCAACGTTTCTTACGCGAATTCCGTGGGAAAGTGACATTCACGATAACCACCAATGTGAAGTCGGACACATGACGCGTCTTGTTGAGCATATAAAGCCTAGATCTAACTATTGTTGAACAGCTGTTTATGTCGACAATTTGAAAACATTTCAATGCCGCGGCAGTGCTGCCACTCTCTGAACTTTACCGCAAACACTTTCAACTCTTTGTTCTTATCGAAGATTAAGAATTTAGGGTACAAAAAGACAAAGAACTGACAGAAAAAAACAATAAATACAAGTGTTACACCATGGTTTCCTTCAACTCCCAAAAAAACATGATAGAAACTAAAAAGGAAAATGTTTTTTTCCGAAACGATATAAACAAAGCTCAAGGCAGAAGCAAAACAAAGATGGCTGAATCAATGTCACTGGACACAAACTCCGTTTTCTCTTATCGTTAAAAATTGTCTATTCGTGACTCCTATGTAAGTTCGCTCAAATAAAACGTGCTGATTCCATTAGATGTTAGTTGGGTGGTAGTTTGCGTTGACATGATTCTAAATTTACAAGGACACCTAACAGTTTAGAGGTTGGAAACGCTTGGTTCAGAAAATGCATTTACTTAGTTTTCAGCTATTCAATTCGTTTCATCAAAACTTTCTTTTTTAAAAACTCAATTATACCTTCATCATTACTTTTATCTAACTAAATAATGTGGTCAGAGTTCTTGTTATTAAATATACTATTTGTTACAGCTTCATTCTGACTGTACTGGCCAACATGATTCAATTGCTTCCATTTTTAAATAGACTTTATGACATCAAAATATCTACACCCTTAATTAATTAAAAATCTATCCCCCACTTTATTTCAAACCTATGCTTTGTGTCTGGTGTCTAACTTGTATTTAGATCAAGAATGTTTTCGCTCTGTGGTTGAGTGTGGTCCCCCTATTGCCTAATTAATTATTACTGTATTGTTATTGTCTGATACTGTTTCTTTTTGCATTATCCTTATCAGGATGTTTTTTTAAATTTCAGGTAGCATGGAGGGAGTCCCTTCTGAAGTTCAAGTACAGGAATGCAGTTCTTCCGAGCTCACAAAATGTTCTGACATTGGAAAGATTATCTTTGACAGTAAATCTGACAATCCTGTCCGACTATTAGTGCAAGAAGAGGGAAGAGCTGCTCGAAACCTGATTGCTTTCAGTGTACCTTGCGATATGGTTCAAATAGATTCAAGTAAGATAATCTCCAGCACAACGCCTGTTAGTTACACCTTTGTACCTATGCTTAAGACGTAAAGTGTCACTAAAAATTACAGCAACATTTAATAATTAATACAATTATTGCTTCTTCATTAACATTTTACCAAACTCTGAATCATTGCTTCTCCTTCTGTGTTCCCCCACCTCTTTATTCCCCCTCCTCTTAACAAGTGGCCAATGTCTCCGCCCACACACTCACCACCTCTTTGTTGAGTCAGTGGGCCAGGTCTCTTAACCTTCTCAACTTATCCCTTACTATGGGTATTTCAGTCAAATGTTTTGTAACTTAAGTGTCTAGCTTGTAATCCTTTTGCAATTTGTTTTGATTATTATCTATTTGCAGGCAAGGTTTCTAGGAAGCCACCTTCTTCTCCACGTACTGTGCAAGAGTTAAAAAGAGATGAAGCACCCCTCAGAACAACAAAACGAGCACCTGACACATCCACTCCCGGTTCAAGAGTACGGTCAGCTTCAACTGGGAGGGACAAAAGATCAGGTATGTTGAGATAGTAAATTCTGTCTGCTACATTTTGTTTTTATTATTACTTCTTGTTATTGTTATTATTAACTGTATATTTTAATGGACTGCTCGTGTTTGACTTTTATTTTAATCTCACTTTTTCAGAATTGCAAGCAAGATACTGGGCATTCTTATTTGGAAACCTGCAAAGAGCTGTAGATGAGATCTATCAGACCTGTGAGACTGACGAGAGTGTATCAGAATGCAAGGTTTGTAAATAGTGATAATAAAAGTAATTCTTCTGAATATTGCACCATGCAGTATGCCTAACCTGCCATATTTGTTTCTAGGAAGTAATATTAGTTTTGGAAAACTTTACCAAAGATTTTCATAATTTGATTGAATGGTTTCGTCTGAAGTGGGAATATGAAAAAACACCACCACCGCAAAGACCTAATTCCCTTGCTTGGGAAGTGAGAAAGTCTTCACCTGGCAAGGTAGATTATCTAACCTTTTGATCTTTTATGGTCGTACCTAAAAAGATGAATTTCTGGAGCTTCTATGTTATCTTTACAGATTCAGACGCATGTATTGCCAACATTCAGCAGTCCTGTCAAAAGAATACTCAATTTTGGTGATCCAAACGACAAAGATCGATCAAAAGCAGGTGGAGATAAAGCATGTGACACTCTTAAAACAGGGAAATGTAGCCCTATAATACCTGTTGTTGAAGGTGAGGAAATAGCTACTTTTGACCCAACACCTGTATCTTGCAATGGAATCTGCTCTGCGAATGCTGATAATCAGACAGTTGAAAATGATAAAGAAGATGTTTTCTTAAATATCATTCCCTCTACTGATGAGGTCGGACCATCAATTGAGACAGGAATACACTCATCAAAATCAAATGAACTTCCTGTCAAAGAAGAACCTGCCAAGGGTGAAGAAGTCTGTCCTAGTGGTGACACAAATACTGTCAATGGAGAAGCCTGCAGCAATCATGAACCGGTTGTGAATGAAATGTTGCCAGATGACACTTTGGAAGAACTCCCTGAGACATTGCCTGCAGGAATGACTAGCCAAGCCTGTCAGACTGACCCAGAACTGGAGGAATTGGGCTCAGACCCATGTAGTAACCCAACAATGGTTGATAAAGGCGTTGGGACTTCAGGAATCAGTGTTTCAAAACCAGGGGCTGCTAGGCTCCATCTAGGTTCGGTAGGAAGAGCCTCTATGTCTCTTGCCCCAACAAACCAACTCCGTACGACAGTTGCTGTTGGCTCTCCTTCAACATTTGCTGGAGTTGCTACCAAAGCTCCCTCTATGTCCAGTATCAGAGTACCACCTACTGCAACCATGAAAAATCCAAGTGTATCTTCTAAAGGTGCATCCCTCACTGTTAATCCCAGCTCAAAGGCAACTCCTTTGGCTAGTGGACCAACTGGGACCTCCTCAAGCTCCTGTAACTCCGTGCCTAAGGGTGGTCCTATTCTGGGGCCCCCCACTGTTAAAGCTGTGCTCCCTTCACCATCTGCTTCATCCACGAGTAATCCACCAAAAGCCTCTCTGGCTTCTATTGTTAATAAACCATCTACAGCAAGTGTAGTGAAAAGGAATGTCAGCAGACCCTCTTCACTTGGGTAGATATTAGTTTGGATTAAAGCACCTCATAATGTTGCTCAGCATTTGTGATATAATAATTTTTTGGTATTCCATGATATTCAGGTCATCAGCAAGTCCAGCGGCGGGTCGTTCCTCCATTCCACCGAAACTGCAACGTAGTAGAACAGTAGCTGAAGTAAGCAGACCTCACAGACCAAATCACAACAACCGTACTGGGGCACCTCGACAGGTAGTTTGATGTTTATTTGTGTTCTTTGCTTTCCTTATTTCTTCAATGTCTCTATTTTTCTCAATTTTAAAACACCCATTTTTACAGTTAAGAGGCACTTCCTCTTTTGAGTCTGGCTCAGTCAATCAAAAGGAAGCAAGAGAAAAAATAAGGAGTTTCCAGAACACTGTAGTCCAGGAGGGGAACAAGAAAAATGAAACTGGTGGTAAGAAGCTAATTTGCTGCTTGCTTGTGCTCAAACTTGATGGCAAGCAAAGCTTAGGAGTCAGAAGCTCTGATTTCATTATTGCTGGTCTCTGACATGATAAAATTGTATTCTCTCGTAAGTTGTTACTCATGAATTTGTTCCTATAACAGATGATTCAGGATGGGAAACAGTCAAGAACAGATCCAGGTGGCGATTGAGTGGCAACTACAATCCAAAAAATAGGTTCAACAAACCAACTTGTGCTGTGTCTCTTCCTGCTTTAATAATAGTTGATGATGATGATGAAGCTGCTGTGTTGAAGAATCCATTAAGTAAGCAGAATTCCCAAGACACTTCAGCCAGTGGAAGGCATTTGGAAAAGGTGGAGGTCTTGGCTCCTGACATTAGCAAGCTGAAAAAGTCTCCTAAACCAAAGTCACAAGACTCGTCTATGAATCCTAAATCAAAATCTGAAAAATGTTGTAATAATACCACTAGACAACTGGTGAGTAAAAAGTTTGGAAAAGATCTTAATAAAGAAAACTGTGATGCACCCTCAAAAACAAAATCTGAGGTATGTTTCTTGTGTTTCACAAAATTTACAAAAAAGGTAAGATAAAAAATATCTGTATTTTGTTGATTGTTTCTGTCTCTAACAGGAATCTGGTTCTTTAAAACCAAAGAATGGCACACAGGTTGTGGGAAAACAAACCAATGGGTCAAGTGAAGGAAAGGAAAATCAAGAAAAAAACTTGAAGTTACCCAACGGAAGCGATAGTGTCAAGTTCGATAGAGTGCAATGGAAGTCTTGCAATGGAAATAAACCAGTTGATCTTGAAATTGATACTCAACTGAGTGGTGATGAATCATCTGTGGGACCTAGAACAAGTTCAACAACAACACCAACAACTATGACACCAACGACCACTCCTGCAACTCCAACTACTCCAACCAATTCAGCCTCAGATAGCTTGGCCTTCCTACGTGACAGTGATGGTGGAATTGACCGTCTGATGTATGTTATTGTCTTATTGCAGTTTTATTTTATTGTTATAAACTTTTCTTATTTGATCATTATGTTATGTATCAACTTGCCTAGATCTGATGATGAAGATCTTATAGCCGAAAGAACTCTGCTAAAGGAGGAAGAACGCAAAAGTCAGCAACTATATGAAGAGGAAGTAAAACTGCAGCAGCAGATCGATGAGTTGCAGTCTGCTGAGCTTGAGGTTGAGGTGCGGTGAATTCAGTTTCTCATTTTGAAACAACATTCTGCGCTATTGAATTTTAGTTTATTGTCAGTTTTGTACTGTTCAGGTCGAGACTGATGGGGAGACTCAAATTGGCACAGAGGAAGAGGAGGAGGAAGAGTTGCTTGGTGGTGACGAGCCACGTGATGTAGATGTGGAAATAGACACAATGTCTCTTGAAGCTCGTTATGAAAATATGTTAGAAGGTAAGTTCTCTCTTCTACGTTCATTTGTTTAATTAATTAAATTCAACCTATTGTATTGTAAGACAAATTTGTCTGATAAGTTTGATGTTCTTTGGCATGTGTGCATGCTAAGTAGTACAGTTCACACATTTAAAAGTACAAAAAAATTGCTATTTTTTATTTTTTTAAATGAACCATTGCTTTTGGCACATTAACATGTGTCACTTTATAGATTAAAAAAAATAATTGTGGTGAGCACATTAATATATCTCAAATTTACCTTCCTTACTTGTTTTAAATTGACATGGTTGCGGTTTTTATCATATGCCTCTTAATTTATCAGTTGTCAGACTAATGTTTCATGTAACAGGTTGGGGTACACCTTTTACTTTCCTTTTCTTTAATCTTGGTGTTACAAGCCTCAAAGATCTCTTTGGAGTTTGTAGTCTTATTATGTTGTATCTAAAATTGTACGTTTTAAAGTTTTGAACTTTTGTAAATAGTATTAGGTATGTATATTGGCCAGACCAAAAGCTGCTTTTTGTCAAGTACAAGGTATTTTGCACATAAGTGGGAAGTAGACGTTTCAAAATCCATCCTGCTTATGAAATGTTTCATCCACTTTGTTGACTTTGTCCAGTATTTATGCATGTCTCTACATGAGAGTAAGCTTGATTTTAGCTTAAATTCATTTTATTTTGTGATAATCTTGGTTTATATTTTATATGTATGCTAGACAGGATTTGGCAGGAGCGTTTGGAGAGGATTATTAAGTATGAAGAAATTTCAGCCAGAGGTTCGTGATAGCATTGTATGGCCTCACTCACACCTAAGTGCTCGCAAAGCATCGCAAATCGTTGCAACGGGAGGACCGCTAGACAGCTCTCTCCAGTTTGTTGCTCATTTCTGTGCTCATTTGTTGCAAGGGCACTATGGTTTTGCTCGCCTGTGTTTTTTGTGCAATGGCCATCATCTTATGTGATCAAGTTTGATGTTTTGGTGATGGGTTTTGGAAATGTTCTTTTGCTCGCTGGTGCTCTTGCTGTTCATTTCAGTCTGTTTCTTTATAAATGTCCTTTTTATTATACAATTTAGCTATCGCAAGAAATGGATGGCTGGATACAGGAATGTCAATTCGGAGCTTGTACTAATCATATATACACCTCTACAAAGAGGAAAGAATCTTTGGCTATGCAAGGCTTGGGAAATTTCTAACTGTGTTAGTCACCTGCTTTAAGTGATGCAACATTGGTTTTACTGTGCTTCAACTACTTGATGGTGTTGCAGTTTATAGTTTTTATCAAGCACTGCATAAATTTATGTCATCAACTTTGGCAATATCTCTCTAATAAAATCTATAATGCTCAAGGGGCTTAGAATGTGTAAATGTTTTGCATGGAATAAGATTTGTTTTTGGTTAACATGTTTTTGTTTTTTTGGTGAGGGCTCATATGAGAGTATAAGAGTGCTGGTTGCTAATGGACCTTTGCCTTGCTTGTGTTTTTATCTCCATTCTTTTACAGGTAATAATTGTTAAAACATATACAGAAAAATGTCTTAAGTAATATTTTGCAACAAAGTTTGTTGGTTTTAATGTTTAGTTTCCTTTGTTGATTTCCTTCAATCCTCTGTAGATAGGTAGATAGTAAAGTTAATAAGAATTAACTAAACAAAACATACTTACAGGTCTCTCTTGGGCCGAACGTATGGACACCTTGGAGCAGTTAGAAGCCCTGGTCGCCAGACATCCTGGAAGAGCTTTGCAACTTCATCAAAAGCTTTCAAGTCCTTCACGATCGCGGGCCACTACCCTCCCAGAAACTTTACGGCGTTTCCAAGCAAGACAGGAGAAAGCTCAACTTAAAAGAGAAAGACTGCTTCAGTTAAAGAGTCAAAAGCTTAGAGATCTCCTAAATAAGGTTCGCTATCTATAAGGGTAGTGACCTGGTCTTGTTGATTTTTCGTCTCTTGTGGCTCATTGAGTTAATGTACAGGTAGGAGAAGTGAAAGCAGCCCAAGAACAACTCACTGAAGATCGACGTCTTCGCCTTGAAAATAAGTTGAAACGCGCTGAAGAAAACAGGAACTTGCATCTAAAGTCCATTAAGCGGAAGGCTCATGATGAAGAGGAGAAATTAAAGGAAATTGCCTTCATCAATGAGCTAGAGGCTCAGAATAAGAGGCATGATTTTCTAGCACTTCGTCAGGTAAACCACAAAAATGTCAACTGTCAATATTTCTGTCCGTCTATGTCTTTCCTTAAACTTCTTATATGTGTTTAGGAACAAGAGGAAAGATTGCAAGGCATTGCTGAAGAAAGGCAGCGTAAACAGGAGGAAAAAGCTGCAAAAGAGGCGGCTGTTGAGGAAAGAAAGAAAGCCCTAGAAGCAGAAAGATTACAAAAGCTAGAAGAAATGCAAGCACGCCGTAAACGAAGAGTTGAGCGAATTCATAGGGAGCAGCTAGAGAAAGAAAAAGAGAGGCAGGAAGCAGCTCGAGAAAAAGCCAGGTGAATCTTTCAGTGGTTTGAAAAGCATGGCAATCGCTTTTTAATATATTGTCACTCACTGGAAGCCTTTCAATTTTTCAGAGATCGAGAGGAACGCCTCTCTGCCTTGCATGCAGCGCAACTGGCTACCCAGGAAGAACTGCAGAAAAAAATACAGCAGAAACAGGAGGATTCAGCTCGTAGACACGAAGAGAATATTGAACACATTCGTCAGAGAGCTCTGGATTCAGCAGCTCTGCGATACGCAGATGATGCTGCACCTGCTTTAGAACCATATCGGAGCAAGAAACTTTGCACCCTTTGTAATGTTCTGGTAAGAGTTTAGTTAACTTTTACTACTGTGGCTTTTGAGCTGAGGTACTAGCTGTTGGTCATATTTTATGTTATTAGATTGGCTCCGAGGTGTATCTCTTGAGTCACTTGCGAGGGAAGAGCCACCAAGAAGCTCTACGAAAGTCATCTGGTGGACGTAACAACTCTACTAATGTAAGCCCTAGAGAAGATTTGGATCATATTGCGGAAGCACCTCCCGACTGTGTTGATGAAAAGCAAGAACGTCATAAAGAAAGACAACAAGCTCTTAGGAAGCGAGCCAAAAAGTTACGCCTGAGAATGACAGCCAAGTTAGTGAAATGTTTCATTGTAAAGTTTCATTTTATTTACCATATGTAAAATATTTATCAAACT